TCTGCACAAAGCGACACCACACACACACACACACACACACACACACACACACACACACACACACACACACACACACACACACACACACGAGCTGCAGTGGTTACTTACTACTTGGGTCAGCTTGCATACATATTTGACGGAAGATCAACTTTTCAAGCGACGAACCTCCCGCGATCAACCCGATCACATGCAAGCACATACACACGCACACGGGCCCCCAACCACACACACGTGCACATACGCACGCACGCACGCCGAGATGAGCGACAGCCGGAACGTCACCGAACATGAACGAAATCAGAACACACAAACATACAGTTCAAAGCCCCCCGTGCCCTTTTCCTCCTCGTAACGCTCGCGCTTGACTTGGGACCAGTTCTCTGGCTCCCGGATGATCGTGTTTGACGTATTGGGCACCCCTGCCTTAAAATCTGAGGTAATTCGCTGATTAGTTTAGCGCTTAGCGCTGAGCACCGTTGTTTGCGAATGAGCGGTGATTCAGTTGTCATCTGATTGGTTGCCCTATATGTCAATCATAAGCGCCAAGCACCGTGGTTTGCCCATGAGCGGTGATTCAGTTGTCATCTGATTGGTTGCCCTGTATGTCAATCAAGTAACGGGATTGATGATAGGCTGACGTAGTAAGTTCTATATATTTAGCACCGTTGTTTGAATGGCAGCGCCACCGCCGAGGCGTTTTCGACACTCGTCATGTGAAAGCCCGGGAGCCCCATTGAACCAGGCAAAGAGCCGCATGCGGCTCGCGAGCCGCGGGTTGGCCACCCCTGCCATAGATGCTCAACACAAAAAAAAAACCCAACAAAAAAACCCTAACATTTCCATCTTCAAGACATTTTCTGGAAACTATACAGATGGATACGACCTTTGTGCATAAAGCGTTCTTTCCAGTTCAATGTCAACTATATCCATCCATGCATTATCCGAACCGCTATTAAACTTTTACTAAAAACTACAAAATGCGTGCTTAAGACAGGTTGGAAAATGGCTTCCTTTAATCTCTGAGGGTAAATTAGTGATGATGCTGATGCTTCTGTTTAAACGTTACGCAACGAATAAAGTTTAATGATGTCTTGAATAAATTTGAGATTGACACGAGCAAAGTTAGGTGCAAGATGCAAAGTTTTATTGTGAACACTGATATATTTTGAGAAAAAAAAAGTGGCAGTGTCAGATGCGCAAATAGTACAAATGCATGTCATAGTTTATCGAACGTCCTCAATGTTTTTTTTTTCTGTTACATAATATCTATCGATCCATTTTCAACATGGCTTATCCTTAAGAAGATCGGGGTTGTTCAAGCCTATCCCAGCTGACTGCGGATGAAAGGCTGACTACAGTCAGTCGCAGGGCACATATTGAGACGAGCAACCATACGCACCCACATCACACCGTCACTGAGTGGCAACCGATGCCATGCCGCCCACACATGAGTCAGGCGAGTACACCACTACACCATCAGCGACTTCTATTACAGAACATCAAGGATAAATTTGGATGTCGACTTAGTAAAAATAGGATGAAACAAACGAAAAAAAAGATTTCTTTTAAATCACTCCTCTCTACTACTTGTTCTACAGCCATTTTTGTTATGCATTGCATAGTTTTAGTGGAGTGGGTAGTGGGGGTGTTTCAGGCGTATGGGATACCGAACCCCCTGATGTGGACTATTAGGTCCCAGTAGGGCTGATGTCAAAGTTTGGTCCACCGTCTGTGGCAGGAGGCAGGGGTAGAGGGGCGGGGAGTGCGAGCAGAACAGGGACCACAACCTCTCCATAACCTTTATGGACACGATTTACTCGACAAGACGCCAGTATTATATTTCTGCTCTTTGCAGATGATGTGGTTCTGTTGGCTTCATCAAGAAGTGATCTCCAACTCTCACTGGGGCGGTTCCCAGCGTGAAGTGGATGGAGAATCAGCAGCTCCAAATCTGAGACCATAGTCCTCTGTCAGAAGAGGGTGGAGTGCTCGCTCCAGGTCTCGATAAGATCCTGCCCCAGGTGGAGGTCTTGGGTTCTTGTTCAAGAATGAGGGAAGAATAGAGCGGGAGAAGGATGGGTGGAATGGTGCTGCATCATCCGGGAGGGGCTGAGAGTAGAGTCTTTACTATTCCACATTGAGAGGAGACAGATGAGGTGGCTCGGGCATCTGGACACCTCCATGATAAGCTGTTTCGGGCAGTACCCGAGGACCATCCAGAACACACTGGAGAGACTGTGTCTCCTGGCTGAGAACGCTTTGGCATCCACCCGGAAGAGCTGGACCAAAGTGGCTGGGGAGAGGAAAGTCTCAGCTTCTTTCTTAAGGTTGTGACCCTGAGACCAAATCCCTGATAGGCGGAAGAATGGGTGGATGGATGTTTTTAAAAGACACAGCCAGTATACCCACGCACCAAGCAGAAGCACATCAATCCCACATCAATTCCACACAAGATTCAAAATCCAGTGCTTATGGACTTTGAGGTAGGCGTGGTAACCACTGCCCACAATGCAGTCGTGAATCTTATTTGTGGATGTTGTGATGATGACTACGATGAATGATGCTGTGCTTGTGCTGATACCTCAAAAATACTGTGTTGGTCTTACATGAGAAAGCATGACTAAAGTTCACAAAAATACCGTGTTGGTCTTACATGAGAAAGCATGACTAAAGTTCACAAAGATGTCTTGTTTAATCAATATCTTGTTTATCTTTGTCAAG